TTTTAGTATTTCTGGTTTTTTTTAATATTTATTTACAGTTTCTGTAGTATATTGTCTATTTTTTTAAAGGAACCACATGGTCCTGAGAGAGTATATTCTTTAATGTTGCAATTTGAAGATGTCATTATGTCTTTCAGCTCTAAATTCTCCAGCAGTTTATTCAATTCTCTGTGTTCAGTTTTGTTTACCTTTCTAGAAGATTTGCCTGAGAAAGGAATATTAAAGTCATCTACTATTATTGTGTTCCTTTATCTTTTTGGCAATTTAGTTAACTTTTCCTTTGTGAGTTTAGATGCCATACCATTTGGCACATATATGTTTAGAATTGATGTTGTTTCATTATTCATCTTCATAGATTTACGTATCTGTCCGTCATCTCCCTCCTGAGCTCCAGTCTCATAACAGTAACGGCCCATTGAATATCTCAGACTGGATGTTCCAGAAGCATCGCAAAGTCAGCATGTCCCAATCTGAACTCTTATCTTTCTCCTCAAACCCTTCCCTCTTTCCAACTTTTCTATCACTATGGAGGGCACTACCATCCTCACAGTCCCTCACTCGAATGACCTTTGTATCATCTTCAACTCCTCGGACACACTCACTCCACACATCCTAACTGTTGCCAAGTCTTGTCATTTCTTCCTTTGCATCTCTTGTCTAATCTCCCTTATCTCTACTCACACTGCTCCTACCCTGGTTCAGGCTCTCACCAATTCCTACTTGGATGATCACAAGAGCCTTCTATTTGGCTTCCCTATCCCAGGTCTCTCTTATCTCTCCTCCCACATTCACCTACACGTGTGTGTACATGTGCATCTGAGAGAGATCCATAGCCTATTAAAGAACTCTTTGCCATCACCCATTTCAAACATTATGGCCAGGAGTAGGCACCCTCATGTTTACACCTAGTCACGTGGAAAGGAACAGTGGAGGAGGAGGGAGGGTGGTGGATGAATATCTTCAAATTGGCCCACATAAGCCATTCTACCTCGATTCTACTTGTATAACCTCTCTCTGAATATGTCTGAATTTCCCAAGGGTTCATTTCTCTTTTTCTGTCTTTTTTTGCTGCTCTTTTTCTGCCCTTCCAACTCTTCTGCCTTTTCATGTATTTCTTCTGTGTGTCCTTTTCAGTCTCTCTCATTTTCTATCCCCTCACTTTCATTACTCCATTCTGATTTTCTCCCTTAAGGATCATAATGTAGAAAGTATGTTTTTGTTATTTGTTGTAGTTTATTGAATGGCTTTATGCTCTAGATTTAAGAGCTAGGTAAGAAGAAATGTTTTATTTTTCTCTAGCCTGCTCACTTCTTCCCCCTCAAAAAAAAAACCTAAGAACTATTTTTTAAAAACTTAGGGGATCCTTCATTGATTTTCCTCCCATATGTCAGGGCCTCTAAATAGAACAGAAGTTCCTCACTCATAGTCTAAAGTTATAAAAAACTTGTTAGGTAATTATATTGGGTTTAGGGAACTAGTCACTACTTTGGATTTCTGCCTGATACCCTGAAAACACAGTAATATTTGTTAAATGATCAAATCACAGCCACAAACAGCAAGTTCATTGACTACTTGATTTCTGATGAATGTTATTTGTAATAAATCACAATAAAGGAGATATATTTTGTAACTATAGATAGGGAAGAGTTTATGACTAAACAAGGGATAGAGAGGAGCAGAACAGATAAAATGGACAATTGGGCCAACTGAATTAATGAATCACCCCACTCCTCTTAAAGTATCTAAGAAGATACTCTGGCCCTGATACTTTTGTCAGGCTAGAATATCTCTACTGAATCAATCAATTTGTCATAGGCATTTGTCATAGGCATATCCTGTTACACCCCGTGGATCTTCCATAAAATAGCCAATTTGGATTGCAGCATTTCATTGGAGATTCAGGAGACAGCAGTTCCAACCAAGCCCTTGAAAGGGGATTGCTTATTGGGGCAAGGGGGTGGGGAGAGAAGGGGTGGCTCTGTCTCTTCCTTACTTGCCCCTTGATCAGACAAGGACTTTGTGAACTTCAAAAGGTCAGAGGATTTGGACCTCTAATCATTACCCTAGCAAAGAAGAGAAGCAAATGAAAGCAGTATCTGTATTGAGATATGAGGACAAATTAGATACACTGAGGAAAGGCAGCTTTAGGAGTCTACAAGGAACCCAACATAAAACTATTCCATACATATCAAGAACTTCATAAGGGCCCTACAAAGGGAGGAAAAGACTTCCAGGAGCTGTGAGTTACCTTTGTGTCTTGTGGGCTTGAGCCCACCTTCCCCTAGACTCTGTGTATACTTGCAAGAGAATATGCCCCATGCTTGGAAGGATGCTTTGTTATGACTGCTCCTATTATGCCTTCCTACTTCTAAAAAGTAATTCTTCCTGACTGGATAATTGCTATCTACTGATAAAGCACAGGAAGGGAGAAGCACACTGATGAGAGCTCATGAGCTATAGTACTAGGAAAAAACCATCCCATGGTCCCTCAAGGGAGAACCCTCGAATTCTGAGGAGAGACATAGTAGCCACCCTCTGAGGACCTAGCTTGCCATTGTGAGACTCTAGATAGCAGCCCTAGAGCAGATTCCCCACCCCTGCCTGCCCTAGAGCTTCTGCTGTAATTACATAAAATTAAAAAGCTTCTGCACAAAACAAAGTCAATGAGGTTTTGGAAGGGAACCAATTAAGTGGAAAATTTTTTTCGGTAATTTCATCTGATAAGTCTTATAAAGTAGTCAAGGAAATGATTCAAATGTATAAAAAGAGCCATTCCACAATAGAATGACAAAGGGTCACAGTATTTGAACAGGCAGTTTTCAAAGAGAAATCCAAGCTATCAACGGATTTATGAAAGAAATACTTCAAATAATCAGACAAATAGAAATCAAAATAACTTTTGAGGCTCCACCTCATACTCATCATATTGGTAAAGATGACCAAAAAAGAAAATGACAATTGTTGGTAGGGTTGCAGGAGGACAGGAATACTAATTGACTGTTGGTGGAGCTTTCATTGGGTATAGTCATTCTGGAAAGCAATTTGGAAAAAATATCTCCAAAGTCAAAGGCAAAAAAGTAAAGCAGGGAATGATTTCATGGAAGTCCTGGGAAGACTTCGGTATGAACTGATGCATAGTAACGTAAACGGAACTGGGAGCACCATTTATACAATAACAGTATTGTAAAGAAAAAGAAATTGGAAGGAAGAACAATGACAAATGTAGTGATCAACCACAGCTCCAGAAGAAAGCTACCTGCTGTATGACAGGTGTGGGGTCTGGAATCAGGACTCAAAGTGCCAGATGAGACATATATTTTTGGACATGGCCAGTGCCTAGATTTGTTTTGCTTTACTATGTTTATTTATGACAAGTTATTGGTTTGGTATTTTGTTTTGTTTTGTTTTGTTTTTTAAATGGAAGGCATCTTTGGGAGGTAGAGCGAGAGGAGCACTAGTAATGGCCTTCCCCCCCCCCCAAAAAAAGAGGTATCAAGGTATAACTTTGTGGGGGTTTGGTTCAATATAAATGGAAATTCCCTAACAATTAGAAATACCCCAAAATGAAGTTGGCTGTCTTGGAAAGTAGTGAGTTCTCAATCAGTGGAGGTTTTCAAGTGCTCAAATTACACACTGTTCAGATAAAAATCACACATTCTATAGGGGAAGGGACTCCAGAGGCCATCTGATATACAGGGTACTTCAACAAAAATTCCTCCTGCAATTCTCCAACAAATGATCATCCAGGCTCTGTGGACACTCCCCACTGAAAATGAGCCCCACGAGCTCCTGAGGCAGCTCATTCCATTTTCAGACAACTCTAATTGTTAGGAAATCTTTTCGACAGCAAACCTAAATATGTCCCTCTGAAACTTCTATCCATTGATCCTAGTTCTCCCCTCTTCCATCAAAAATAGTACACAATAGCCTTCCAGATACAAGAACACAGGTATCAGATCTTCTCTCCCTGCCCCGTGCCCCAACCCAGGTCTTTTCTTCTTGGAATGAAACATCCCTGCTTCCCTTAACTGATCCCCCCATCCTTTGAGATTGTATTTTTCTTATCTTTTAAGTTAAATTTTATTTTACTTTCATGAAGATGTGCCTAATCTCCCACCCCCTCCCCACACACACACATTTTGGAAAAAAAAGAAAAATAAAACTCTGTTACAAACATGTATGGTCAAGCAAAACAAATTCCCCCATTGGACATGCACTCACAAAATATATCACCAGCAGGCCAGTATCCTGTCATCACAAACAGGTTGAACTGCAGGTGAGAGGAAAAGTTGGCCCAGTCCAGTAGGCAAAGACCTGGCCTCTGAGCCATGGCCACGCCACAACAAACAGAATCTACGTTCTAGACTCCTCTAATGGCTAGTACGCCTTCTGCGCAGGCGCACTACTTGGTAGCTCTTCACCTCTCTCAGGCGGTGGGTAGCATATTGAATCATGAGGCCTCTGGAATCGTGGTTGACAATTGCACTGATCAGAGATACTGTTTCAAAGTTTTTCCATACAATATTGCTGTTGTATAAATTGTTCTCCTGGTTGCCACATCACTCCGCATCACTTCACACAAGTCTTCTCAGATTTCCCAGAAACCAGGCCTATAATAATTTCTTACAGCACAAATTCAAATCTTTGCTTAAATGTGGCATCCAGAATTAGAGAGCCCATCTTACTACTACTGAGCTGCTGTGGAAAGAGCTTGAGGCTTGGCAGCAGGAAAAAAAAGGTTCCAGACCCATCCCCATTCTGGCTTTAACCGGCTGTGCTGCAGAAGGGGATGGCATGGGGTAAATGAGTGGCACACAGCAGGTTGGTAGCCTGCCACAGGTTGGAGAGCCTCCCTCCCTGGCTCCACCTACCAAGTAGTGCGCCTGCGCAGAAGGTGGAGGGGCATTGGAAGAGGGAGAATTTAAAACTTAGATTCCTTCTATTGGGAGGTGGCAGCTTCTAGATCCGACCACCTCCAGACACACTCACATCATCCAGCCATGGCTCGGAAGACCGGCCGGCGCCTGCTGAGCTGGGCCAATTCTCCCTGTCACCTTCAGTTCAACCCGTTTGTGTTGACGGGATACCGGCCCACCAGCGGCACCCTGGGCTGTGTGTACAGCCTCTTCTACCTGCACAACGAGCTGGGCAACATCTACATCCATGGCATGGCCCTGATGACCCTCCTGGTGCTGCTGCCATTGACCATCCCCTGGGGCCAGCTGGGCTGGGGCAGCTGGCTGGGCGGCACCCACTGTTTGGCATGCCTGGCACCCCTCGCCGGTTCTGTCCTCTACCACCTCTTCATGTGCCACCACGGAGGCAGCCGCGTCTACACCCGCCTCCTGGCCCTCGACATGTGTGGAGTCTGGCTGGCCAACAGCCTTGGAGCCTTACCCATGATTCACTGCACCCTGGCCTGCTGGCCTCGCCTGCGCCTGCTTGCCCTGGTAGCTCACGCCTTCCTGTCCACCATAGCCGGCTGGCAGGCCCTCACCGCTCGCTCTACTGTCGCTCGCCTCCGAGCCTTTGGTTGGCAGGCCACTGCCCACCTGCTGGTGTTTGCGGTCCGGGGGATGGGGCTGGGCACTGGAGCCCCAGGGTCCTTGCCTTGCTATCTTCGAACGGAGGCCTTGGCACTTCTGGGAGGGCTGGTGAATGTGGCACGGCTGCCTGAGCGCTGGAAGCCGGGGGCTTTCGATTACTGGTGTAACTCCCACCAGATCATGCACTTGCTAAGCGTGATCTCCATCCTCCAACTACATGCTGGAGTTGTGCTAGATCTAATCTGGGCTGCCCACCACGCTTATGCCTGCCCCGCAGACTGAGCACTGTTTTACCACCGCCACAAACAAAAACTTAAAAACACATCAAAAAAACCCCAAAAAACCAACCCTTAAAAAAGCCTCAAACCGCTCTCCTGCCACTCTCCTCAAAGCTAGTAAGTACAAGTAACCCTTGTTCCCCAGGCTTCTCCCCAGTCCTCCCACCTCTTTCCTAAAACTCTTTTTTTTGTCTTGGGGAGTTATGGAGGTTCCCTTTATGCACTCCGGTGTTTGTAAGATCCCTTACTTGAGTGCCAAGCACCCTTTACTGAGTTTTTCTAGTTTATGGAGAACTCCAGTCCTTTCTTAAGGCTATAGGAGGTTGTCCAACCACCTTTCAAAAATCTCAGTTTCTACTTCCCCAAAGCATTTTCTTGCATTCTATTCTATTCTATTCGTTTTCCGAAGTTGTTTAGCCCCAAGAATAGTATGGGAAGAGAAAGGAAAACTTGACAAGGAGTCAGGAGTCCCCAGGTTATAATCCTGGCTCTGCTACCAAATTGAACTTTCCTTCATCTGATTTATTTGTTGGACTAGGCCTGCAGCCTCTAAGTTTACCCACGTTCCACACACTTCTAGGACCACCCACCTCACCCATAGGCCACAGTGTCTTTGCTCTTCTCCAGGGTGAGTGGGAAGCATTGGATTGATTCTCCAACCACTGTAGCATCTGGGTGGCACTAGCAGTCGCCCCTCAGAAAGCATTTGTGCATTCCTTTGACCTCCAACCCTACTTAAGCTCCCTTGTCTACACTACTTTTTCTCCTGCTTCTTGCTCGCTGTGGACTGAAGTCTTCTCCCTCTATGCACTAGCACCTCACATCTAATTTTGAGGAAGACCAAAATTCCATTCTCCCCTGCCCCAAAAGAAACCAAACCAAACCAAGGAAAAGGACAATCAAAAAAAGCGAGAAGGATTATGTATTTAAGGTTACCAAGCCTCAGGACATCTGCTTGCATGTGACCTGACCAGAACTTCGCCTAAAGAGGAAAATTTGCCTTGCACAGAGACTATAACCACTCTTATAAGCCCTAGATCAGGAAGACTGCTTTTCTGGCCCAAGAGCTCTGTCTCTTCAATTCTTCATGGGACTGTGATTTAGTGGGCCCTAAAATGCCCAAGAACATTGCAAGCTTTTTCTTTGGATTCAAATTGCTCAGGTCTAAAATTTTGTGCTTTTTACCTGAAGATTGTGCTATAAATGTTAGGCTTTTTCACACGAGGTCTTACCCACTTATAGAAAACCTTGCCATTCCTAGCACAAAGACGCTGCTTACGTGAACAGTTTTCCTTCATGAGGACTCCCATCCCTTGAAACAAGATGGTCTCTGATCTCTAGAACTCATCTGTGAGAGCCAAGGGCCAATTCAACAAATAGGACAGGAAGAAAAAGCAACACTTACGCATGTGAGTTATTATTTTTGACTCATTTTGGTTCATTTTATTATCTCGTAGTTACTTAATTGTACTTATATTCTTGTGCTCTTTTAGCTAGATATGAGATAGAGTATATGGGCGTGCAGATGGACTTCATGTCTGTTATCCAAGGACAAGCCTAACAGAGTTTGGAGAGATTTATTACTACATTGGTTGTAGGGTAATAAATTGGTTTTGACCATAACAAGTGTCAAAAGCAACCAGTAGGTTGCAGAGGGTTTTACATTGTGCATCAGATGAGGAAGTACTCATACTGATGAAATCAAAGCTATCTGAAGTATGTTGCTTATCTTGCCTTAATGTTGTTGTTGGACTTTTCCTGACCCCATTTGGGGTTTTCTTGGCAAAGATACTAGGGTGGTTTTGCCATTTCCTTCTCCAACTTATTTTACAGATGAGGAAGTTGAGGTAAACAGGGTAAAGTGACTTGCCCAAGTTCACAAAGCTAGTAAATATCTGAGGTCGGATTTGAATGCAGGTTTTCCTGACTCTGGGCCTGGGGCTCTATTCACTGTACCACCTAGCTGGTCTTCTTAACCTTAATAGTCAGAGTTTTGTTTCTTCTTTACCAAACACCATTTCAAGTGAGTTTTTTTTTCTTTGTATTCTGCATTTGCTTCTTTCTGATTCTGCTCTGCCTTCAGAATTAGCCTAACTTAGAGAGCATCACTCATTTGTCACTTACCATATGCTACCAGAAAGCTTATGTTTTATTCATAGATATAGCTTATGTAACTTTCCTTGATAATAGAATCATTATTTCACAACTCCAGTTATTCGTAAGTTCTCCCTAGTGTCTAACCTTAATCCATTATGCATCACAGAAGCATAAATATTAATTTAAAAATCAAATCCAAAAAGATGTTCAAGAGATCTTACATGTTTCTTCTGCCTCTGTCAGCAAGACATCCAAACCAAAAAAAAGGGGGGAAAATTTGAACATTTTGTTTGCCCAACACCAAACATCCGAATGGTTGACCGAATTTTTCACTTTTCGTCTGGATGTCTAGCATCTTGCAGATGTAGCCTTAACATTTTTTTTCGAAATTTGATGACCCAGTTTCTTTGTGCTTTTCCTAATCAAGAATTCAAACCTGAGCAAAAGTGAGTGAGGTTCAGAAAAGTGAAAGTCGTTTAAAACCAGGAAGCTGTTTCCAAATATCCTAGTATATAATCATTCTTCCTTAACTACTTTTCCTTTTTTTTACTTTATACAATTTGTCACTTGTTTTCAGTTCATTCAAATTTGGCCATCAGCCCAAGAGAACCATTCTTTTCTTCATTTCTCTTTACCTTCAGGTAGAGAGACATGTTTGTCTTTCAATGTTGCTTATCATCTGACTACAAAACTTGAAACCGGCAGCTAGATGGCGCTGTGGATAGAGCACCAGCTCTGGAGTTGGGAGGACCTGAGTACAAATATGGCCTCAGACACTTAACACTTACTAGCTGTGTGACCTTGGGCAAGTCACTTAACCCCATTGCCTAGCCCAAAACAAAAACAAAAAACCTTGAAACCATTTTCTATGAACACATAAAAAAAAACCCAAAAAACCTAGCCATTCAAAGCATTATCATTAACTTGAGAGTGGCATTATGTTACTCATGGGACAGCTACTGGGGTAAAGTGCTTTCTACTTTTACACTTAAGAGTTCAAATCTTGGCCCCATTGAGGATCCTTACTATTTGGTGATGAGCCTAGTTCTGTTTCCATAATATTACTGCTACCATAACCAGTGCTAATTTCATCAGACACCAAGCACAGGTGTTACAAAACTAGATGATGTCAGGGCTCTTTATTGGGTGTATCATATTCTTTCTGCTTATGCTACTCTTATCTGATTCACTGAGAGAAACATCTAAAACTCAAAGATAATAGTAGTAGTACTGGTAGTAGTAACAATAATAACCCTTCAATTCTTCGAGTATCTCTAATTTCATTAGCACGAGTACTTTTTTCACTGATGCCATTCACGTCCCCTTTATGTTTAAATAATTTTATTTGATGATGATCTTTTTTAAAAATTTAGTTTATTTTGTTACATTTTAGGTTCTGAACTGTCTCCCTCCCTCCCTACTCCACATTAGAGAAGGTCACCATTTGATACAGATTTATAAATATGTGTACAATCGTACTATGCATACTCCTATTTATCAGTTCTTTCTCTGGAAGAGGATAGCATCTTCCTTCATAGGTCATTTGTAGTTAATTTGAGAATTTATAATGCTCAGAATAACTTAGTTGTTCGCAATTATTCATCGAACATTATTGCTATTACTATACAACATTCTCTTGGTTCTGCTCATTTCACTTCTCATTATTTCGTGCAAGTCTTTCCATGTTTTTCTGAAACCATCCTGCCCATAATTTCTTAGAGCATAATAGTATTCTATCAAAATCATATACCACAGTTTGGATCAGCTATTCCCCAACTGATGGGTATCCCCTCAATTTCCAATTCCTTGCCACCACAAAGAGAGCTGCTATAAATATTTTAGAACATACAGATTCTTTTCCTTTTTCTCTGATCACCTTGGGAAACAGACCTAATAGCGGTATTTCTGGGTCAAAGGGTGTACATAGTTTTATAACTCATTGGGCATAATTCCAGATTGCTCTCCAAAATGGTTGGATCGGGTTCATAGTTCTAACCAGCAGTATTAATGTCCCAATTTTTCCACATTCCCTCCAACATTTGTCATTTTCTTTTTCTATTATTTTAGTTAATCTGATAGGTTTGAGATGATATCTCAAAGCTGTTTTAATTTGCATTTCTCTAATCAATGATTTAGAGCATTTTTTCATATAACTATATATAGTTTTGATTTCTTCATCAAAAACCTGCCTGTTCATATCCTTTGACTATCAATTGGGGAATGACTCATATTTTTTATAAATATTTGATGATCTTCAAGAGTTGCTGTGACTGAAAAAAGTCATCATTCTGTGGTCAAGCCGGCGATGAGCCTCTTTAAATTTGTCAGTGTTGGTCCTTGGTTAACAGACATACAATCTATTCCTGGGTCCATAGTCTAAGCCTTTCTAGTTCACAAGATCTGTCAGAACTTCCACTCCACTAGTTTTCCACTACCTAATTTTGCACTCCAATAGTTTTGTACTACCTAGTTTTCCAAGTTCATTTTATTTCTATACTGCTATGTTTACTGAAAATTCTATTAAGTAGGGTCTTTATACAAGTTTTTAAATAGATACATATCACCTTCCAGAACAGAATGTGAGTAGGGGTATAAAATTTGAAAGTCTTTGGGAAAAGGCACAGGGGGAGGGGATGTGAAACTAATTTCTTCCTATGAATTTCAAGTCACTTTATTAGTTTGAAAACATGACAATTAGTTTTATATGTGCAATTTGGTTTGATCAAAAATAATTTTTGGTATCACTCTAGGAGACACCTTACCCAGGGGGAAAAACGCTTGGGGTAGCTGGGTAGGGAGAAGGGGTCCTTTGAGTCCAGGATATAGTAAGCTTCAGAGGAGATGCAAACCTTGATCACCAAGTTCCTAAAGGCTCGGATAACAAATAGAGTAACAAGTTTGGAAAGT